TGGATCATCATAAGCTAGTGATCAAGCTGTCTTCAGGTACTGTACAGGCAACCTCTACTGCTTTACCTGTAACCATAGATGTTTTTTCACGGGGAACAGCTGTGCTCCAGATCACACAATCAGGATCAATACAGAAGAAAGCAGTATTTGTAGGCTGAGGCATTAATGAGTGGAAATAGATTTCATCAATCCTATTGTATTGGGCTTTTTTCAAGAACAAAAAAGGAAATCTCTATAGGTCAGTTTTCATGGCAAGTGGATGCAGAAATAACTCAGTAAGGCTCTTTGACTTTTGCTTTGAAGTGGGTCATAGTCAAACAATTAGATTAAGTTGTCCCTTCCAGGCTTTAAAAAAAAAAAAGGTGAAAAATAAAGCTATGAAGATAAAGAGTTCACCAACAAAGCAAAACCTCATGTTGTGTAATGTCACAGTCTTTTGTGCAGGCATCTGAATTTCAGAGTGTGAAGAATTTATTACATAGTCATTGTTACACACCAGGTGCCATTGCCCACTTTAAAACTAATGCAACAATTCCAGCACTCTGAAGTATGATTAAAGACCACTAATTTTTTTTTTCATTCCATATTTTCTAAATTTTTAATGTGAGCTTGGTTATTTACTGTCAGATTTATAGGGTTGTATTTATGATACTTTCTGGTAGGCTAAGCTAGGTTGGACTGATTATCCCAGGAATATGAATAATCCTTGTTTTAACATGCCAAACTCTATGCTATTGTCAGAAATTAATTGCTCTCTTTTTGCACAGGCTTATTGATTGCTACAGAGCAGTGGTGGAAAACAATACTGGTGTACAATTAGAGGAAAACAGCCGGCACCACAACGAAGATTACCAAAGAACAAACCGATGTCACAAAATACCCTTATCATGTCCTGTAGTGAAACAGGCTCTACACAGCACTGAGCAGACATGTTGAAAATAGTATGCAGCATAATATCCATGTTGTAACCACCGCTACCAGAGAGGTGGTTTCTTATAAAAATGCCTCATTATCACCAATTACATTATCATTATCAGCACCACTTCCATATATATTTCCTCCGGCAATATTAGTGTAACTGAAAAAATGAAATTTAGCCTCTGACCATGTAGAACTACTCTGTAATAGCAAATCAGTTGTTCTGACTAATTATGCTGAACCAGAGCCCTGCCATCTTAAGTATACTTTCTGGGCATTCTTTCTCTTCACCCCATGTCGTCAGACTGCTGGATTTCTAAATTCAAAGAACCTATGTATTGTGTGGAGGGAATTTGGGTGAAGTGTGAGTATATAGGAGAGTGTAGAAGTAGTGTTGAAGAATACATTTGGTGCAGGTGGCTCGATGTGCAACCTGCTGGTTGAGCTCTTGGAGGCAGGAGCCCCAGCTCAAACCTCAAGCAAGAGGCCTTGAACTGCTGACCCTTTGCATAACAAAGGGCACAGGGACCAGGGGATCATATGCCGCAGCCCGGGCGAGGGAGACGGAGATGGACGACGCAAGGGTTCTTGTGCTCACTGGGAGATTTTTTTAGCAGGCAGCCAATATCCTCAGGGGAAAATAAGTATGCACCCGAGAGGCTGCGACACAGGGAGGTGTCACCTGTGTGGCATCTAAAAGTGTCATCCCCGAATGAGGGAAGCACAGGGGTTTATATAGGGTTCGGCACAGAAGGAGCCAGAACATGGGAGGAGTTACAGGATTGATGTGGGGTACAACCAATAGGAACCGTACAATGCGCGCGCCATAACTATCAACCAATAAGATAACAATTCACCTCAGCTATGCCCGCCTACACTGCGGCATAATCTGACCTATCATAGCTAAGGGATTTTCAACCAATCATAAAACTGTATTTCATGAGGGGAATAAAACCTATACCAATATATTATATTTATAACTTCTACAATAAATATTAAATATGTTAAATTTTATTAAAATGTCCATTAATGTCTGGGTGAGCAAAGTCCATGGCCATAGCAATGAACAAAGAGTCTTTTTAATATTTTTCGTAGGTTTCTTTCCATCGGTTAAACTCTTCTCTGTGCCTCCACAATCATAACGTTCAGAGATGCAGCAGGAGCCAAGGACCCCTAGACCTTCCTGTCCTTAGACTGTGAGGGTATAAAAGCCCAGGGTTTCCTTTGTTTGGAGTTGCTTCTCAGAGGCACCAGCTCAAGGTGTTATTTTGTTACTTATTATTGCACCATGATTAAATTATTTTAAGGATCTAGTTGGCTGTGACTTTGCTATGGGAAACCTGGGATTGAGCTGTTAAGGAAACTAGTCTGGCTGTGTGAGTGCAGGGGGTGTAACTGGGAGGGGGCCTGGGTTCCAGCTCAGTGTGTGAGAGTGACTGGCTGAGTGGCTCCTGGATGGTTGGACAGAGAAGTTTCCTTAACAGTAGGAAGGAACATTTCTTCCTTATGCACAGCACGGGACAATGAGATAAATCTGTGTACCTTTCCTTCCTAAAAATGGTGTCTTAGGGAGCTAAAAGTTTTATAAATTTAAGTGGATTTAGGACGACCGATGGCCTCGTGTTTATCTGACTGCCTTGGCCTATTTCCCCTATTGAGTGTTTGTCACTTGAATATTGTGCTATTCAGTGTGATTCTAGGTGGATATGGGTGTCTAGGTTTTTATCTGAGTGGAAGTTATATATGTATGTTGGAAGATCTGGGCTTCTTCATTAGAACAATTGACTTATTACGGTTTCAGAGTTTAAGCCATCTTTTGGCATCCCAGAGTCTGAGATAAAGAATAGAGAACAGAAGCAAAGCTCCACTTCTTGCCAGGAGGTCACCAGCTCTTCTGCAAGTTCCTTGTACACTGAGTGCTTAAATGGTGATCTTAAGACCACAAAATAACAGTTCATAGTCTAATCTCTAGTGGTTTCCAGAAGTGGTCACCCAGTCTCCACAGATGCTAAAATAGAATTGGTTAGCTAAGAGTAATGCAAGATTGAGGAAAGTTTATGGTATCTCGGGCATCTGCAGCACAAGATCATCCCAAACCAGCATTATGAAATGCAAATAGCTGAATAACTGTTGTAGGATACATCACTCTGCCTGGGCTGTTTGTTTTTAGTGGTATTTTGCATAACCTGCAGTTATGTAGATGCATTTGTTTACACTTAACGAAGGTGTTCCTGAAGGGACAGTGGAGGCCTTGCATGGAACATCTTCTTCTCTGTTGAAACATCATAAAGAAGCTCATAAATAATACATTTTATCAATGATTAGCAACATCTCTACAAATGCCTAAGAGCTGCAGAGCTGACATTTTCCCTCTGCTCTCTCTTCTCCTATTTCATTAATCCTTTTCTCCTTTTAGCACCTTTCCCAGTTTTTTTCTGCATGTACCCTAATCTTCTCCAATATTTGATAGATAGGGCAGTATGGGCAGAGCATGAATTGTGTGAAGGTAATATCAGAGCCCTGAGGGCATTGCATTCCAGGCCTCTCCCCTGTGTCTCCTCCATCCTCACGCAGTGCAGCCATGTAGTCTGGGGTTGTGTTGCTGCGAGCAGAGGTACCGGGGGCTGTGCTGGAGGGTTTCCCCAGCACCTGGGAGCTGTGCATCAGCTCAGCCCCCCTAGTTTGTCCTTGTGCCCAAGCTCCTGGCTCCTCTACCAAGCAACCAGCTCTTGCCAACTGCCAGCATTTCATGGAGATGCAAACTGGTTCAGCTTCCAGTTACTTGAGCTTTGTGCTGCTTGCCCTGAGTCTGGCTGTGTGCAGCTCCACCTCCAGCTCCTGAAGTACTGTACTGCCAGTGGTACTTAACATTGTTCAAACAGGAGAAGCTGGAATGTTGTCATAAGAAGGTTTTGTGTCAGCCCTGCCATGCTTTCAGGTTGTCATTCTGTGCAGCCCTTGACTAAAATGGCCAGGGAGGCAAATGTCTCCACAATGATGGATACTTGAAAGGCCTTTTTCTTTGAATTGTGTGGAATTTCGTAGCATTTTTGTAAGTAATTTTCTTCTCTTTTAGTTTCTTGTGTGATGTTTGCACAGCACCAGATAAAAATGTCTCCTCTGTCCTCACACCTTCTTCTCCTGGATGGACACAACTGCTTGACTACCTTTATGCATAGTTTTTATCTCCATCTCCTTCTCTTAAGCCTTCTCGTGTTTCCTAGTTCCAGTACAGCCTCTGCATGATTAACTGATCCATCTTCATCAGGTTTCCATCTGATTAAGGTATTGTCACAGTGTATAAATACAGTGCTCAATGGACAATAGATTTTAAGAGGTATTACATATTGCACACCCTGGATTTATAATAGTTACTTTTTATTACTAGCAGTATTAATCTTTAATCTCTTTGGCTGCTTTTCTTTCAGGAAAGCAAGAAACAGAGCTGAGAATTTTATCTCCAGTACACTTTTGATCTTCTTGCTTCCAGTCTGTGGTTATTATTTGTGCAGTCTGGGTATGTGACTGGTGAATTCTGGTGAACTGGTTGTCTGGGATATTGTAGATGGCTTTCAAATACACTCTGTACACCTTTGAGTGTACTGGTGTGCACATTTCCAAGCCTTTCTAGAAGTATTTTGATTTTTGACTCATGGTCATGGACTAGTCTTGGTCTTTTGATTGTGCTGAAGTCATGAACAGAGCTTGCCAGCAGCTGGCAATTCTGTTTCCCAGCAAGAAGTTTTCAAGTTTGGTTTTTCCACGTATTTGAGTGAAATGGTGGTTTTTTGCAAGGCCTTGCAAGGCCTTCGTCTGTCTGAACTGTTCAGCTGTACAGCGATGGAGAAAGTACCTCTTCTTTTGCCAAAGGGATATGTATCTAATACTCAAACTGTTTCTTTCCTGGTCTATCTAAGCATCCACGGGAAGAGTCTGGACAGTGCTCTCAGGCACATGCTGTGATTCCTGGGGTTGTCTTGTGCAGGGCCAGGAGCTGTACCCAATGATTTTTGTAGGTGCCTTCCAACTCAGGATATTCTATGATTCTATGACTTCCAAATCCACATCTCACAGCACAGGAAAGGAGAAAGGTGATCTGATTTCTCAGCCAAGCCATGACAGCTTGCATTCAGGAGAAGAGGCTGGGAGACTGATTTTTAACAGGGACCCAGTGGCACCATCTCCAGTCCAGCCCTGACTCAAGCTACCGATCAGCCTGGACTGAGTCAGGAAGAAACTCTCATGCCAGATTTCTTGCATGCAAGCTATTAAGTTCATGTATTATAGGAAATTAAGGTTTTCCATGGGATTATAAAGCTATGGCTTTGCCTCCTCCCTCAAGACTGCATCTCAGCTTACACTGCAGCTTTTATGAAACTTTAATTACTTTGCAAGTAGTCTTTCTAGTTCTGATCACTCTTAAAAATGTAAACAAGCAAGAGTGTCATCTGTTGAAACAAAAGTCAATCAGCCAGCCTTTGCTTCTCAGCTTTTGCTACCCAATCTGTTATGCCTGTCACAACAAGTTGTCAGACTGTCACAATAAATGGCACAAGTTTAGGATGTTGTTTTGTTTAGCTTTTGTATGAAATACTTTTGAGCACATTTTAGTAGAGGGGTATAATTAAAGTAAAGCAAATGAATTCTGAAAGAGGGTAATAAGTTACAGGTAGTTTAAAATTGTTATAATAGTATTTTCTCCTTAGTTTTTGGTTACTTGGAAGGACTGTAAATTGTCACAGGTGGTTCCAGTTGGGAATACTGAGGAAATAAATATTGATTAGAAACTTAGTTCTTGAAAGCCAGCAAACTAAGAATGTGAAGATTTCACTTACTTACTCAAATTACTAAATTGATAATTACTGCTCTTATGCAAGTTAAGATAGTGCAGTCTGCCAAATACTCACCCCATTAGAGGAAGAAAATCTGTTGTGTTTCAAGAAATAAAAATACCTAACCATATTTAAAAATTAGTATATTTTCCATTAAGTGTTGCTCTTCTGTCTGATTTCCACAGAAGTCTACCATTTTTCTTTCCCTTCTTTTTGACATCCTGAAGTAGTCTTGGAGCAGAGATGTAATTTTGATTTGACTTCTCACTACTCTTACACTGATGTGTCTGTGGCCCTTTATAAGGGCCCTCTGTGTCACCTGACTCTACTGCCATCCCTTGTGCATTTTGACATCACTCAGCACTGTCAGAATCAAACCCTTATAAAGCCATACTGTTCAAATCCACCTTCATCTCCCAAACCATCACCATCAGCTGCACAGGCCACTTGTCATTCAGATCTATGACCTTGGTCAGCCTCAATCCCTCCTCAGCTTGAACCATAGCAACCTCTTCTTCCAGACAAATGCTTTCAGAGGGACTAAGCTTCCCTCACCGTATGCAGAGGACTTCCCATCCATGTCCTTGAGTTTCTCTGTCTTGCCTTTCTTATACAAAGACAGATATTCACAGAGCTCTGTGGCTGTGCAGTGTCCAAGCAGTGTTCAGAGCTCAGGGAAGCTTCTGCTGCTAAATTGTTACCTCCCATGAAATCTGTTTCCTTCTTCTCTACTAGTTTTCTCTGTTACTCTTTTCCCCATCCCATCCTTTCTTCCTACAACCAACACTGCCAAATATATAGACATGACAAGGCAGAATAGCAATCTAAACATTTAGATTGTAATTTTTTACATTAAATTGAATTTAATCTTTGAATATATTTCTCTTCTGTGTTTTGGGTTTCTTTTTTCTAGTCTCTGTTATATTCAACTAAGGTTGTTCATTTACAGAATTGCAGAATTGCTGTGATTTGTGGGCATCTCTGAGATCACCTAAATGATCCATCAAAGTGCAGTCTGATGGAGCACGTTGCCCAGGACCATGACCAGTCAGGATTTTCAAATCTCCAGGAATGAAGTCTTCAGAACCTGTCTGAGCTCAACTGCTTGACAACCCTCGCAGCAGAAGTGGAGGGTTTTTTAATGTTTAAATGGTATTTATTTTGAGTCAGTTTGTGTACTTTGCTTCTCTGCTCACTGGATACCCTTCTTCCTCTGTCTTCGTTACTCCCGTGTCGTTTATATACACATCCCCCTTGCCTTCTCCAGGCAGAACAATTGCAGCTCTCTGAGCCTCTCCTGATAGACAAGTTAGCTAAGTTATTGCACAAGAATGGATGTAATTCTGAAATTATGTTAACCCAAAGCACAGAAGATCGCTACTCATCCAAGATGGCCTTCTGCCTCATCTGATTGACTTCTCACCTTTGCGAATTGCTGCTCCTGTGCCCTAAGGGAGTGATATTCGACAAGTGACCAGCACTGGACCCCATCACCTGCAAAAACATTTTCCCAGGGAACGTTACTTACTAATTCCCTGAGCAGCCTGAATGAAGTGTGCTCTCCTTGTGTCCAGAGTTGATGTTTTGGTGTCACTTTTCCTCCTGTCTACAGAGATTTTAAACTTCAGTGGTGTGAAGAGGCACCAGAGTAAGCCAAAGTCGTGTTGAAGAATGAGGAGATAACCTATCTGGATATCAGTGCAGATTGTTTTAGATTAAGAATTCCCTGTTTTAATAAAATTGTTGCCATTTATGAAATTTGAATTGACCTCAGTTTTCTTGGAAAATTGTTTTCTGTATTTTGTTTTCTCTCATCTTGTTTTGTCTGCTACAGCCCAGTGTTTGACATTTGTATGATTTTAATGCTTTAATTATGGCTTCATTTTGATCCTGTCAGAGACCTAGAGATGGTGAGTTTCATGTATGTTTCTCACATGTTCCTTGCAGAGCTGTTGTAATTGAAAAGAAAATACCATCATTAGGATTTGTTATAGTCAAAAGACCCTATATATTTTTTAAAATATAGTATTTATTAAAAATGTAAAAGAAATTTATTAAAGGCAAAGAAGGAAAACAGTGCTCTGGGAGACCAGGGGAAACTCCTGTTCCACCAACGGTCTGCCCCGAGGCAAGCCCACACCCCACTTTTTATACCCCCCTCTATCTCTTCCCCTTAAGTCTCTTTCAATTTCTTTATTGGGTTTCCTTTCGTGGGCTCCCTCGATATTGGTCCTTGCTTTCACAGGCTCCATCTCGCCACCTGAGCTCAGCCAATGTTTTGGTTAGACCAGTGTTTTGGTTAGACCATAGTCCTCAGTGTCTGCCATCTGTAAATTTCTAGAGAGGGTAAGTCCTTTCCTTTGGTTCTTTGCTGTTTCATTCTATTCTGCTTCCCTATAAGTCTGCTCAGATCAAACACTTAAAAAATGACAAGACATAACATACAAATTCATAGCAGATTATACCTATTGCTCCTTATTACCTATTACAGACACAACACTGTGGCTTGGTATTTGCATTCAAACCAACCACTAACATTACAAATATAATTTGATTAGCAAATTATCCACCTTTGCTTTTATTAACTATTACAGATTCACTTTACAAAGATGAACATTACCAGGAAACCTTTTAATAAGATAAAAATTAGGCATTTTTCTCATTTTCTCTATGCATTGTTATGAAAACGAAGTTAGAGACATATACACCTGGCAGTCTGGAGCTGCTGTCTAAATTTGACCCGAATTTTTGATTTATTTTGTTTATTCCAAAGCTTACTTTCTTGAACATGAGGATATAAGCAGTCTATGCTGGATTAAGATTACCTCTCCATATCTAAGAGCTTATACCTCTAATGATTCTTATGCAAATGCAAATTAAATATCTAAAAGTGCAGACACTCGTACTCCTAAATACAATCCATCCTGTTTGTAAGAAGAGGGGAGAGCTGATCTCAAGAAAAACTATTCCTTAATCTTCCCTGAGCTGGCCAGTGTGTCACATTGTTTTTGGCTGGGCAGACTGGGTATTAGCTTTTCTGTGCAATGAAATATTTTAAGAATTGAGTGCAAAAGCTCCTTAAGTCCACAAAGTCTGCAGTCCTGCATCTCAGTACGGAGGAACATTGTTTTCTCAAGGAGAAACTATTCCTGTTTGACAAGGTGTGTGAGATTGCAAATACCTGATTTCAAAAAATGTCAAAACCTCAAGAAACGCTGTCAGTGCACCATGAGTTTTTTCCCCTATTTTTTGCCTAAACCTGATACAAAATAGGGGGAAAACTAGTGTGTTGACAATGCTTCCTGAGGTTTTGAGGTTACCTGAAGTCAGATATTGGCAACCTTACAAACTGAAGCCTGGTACAAAATAAACACAGTCACCAGCCCTGTTCTTGGCTTTTATGTGGGGGAGCTGGATAGGATTACAGAGTAGTTAGTGCCTGTTCATCTGAGGAAAGACTAATGAGCTTAGCATCAGACCGGTTACTTCTTGGCTGTGCAAAGCTGAGACCCAGTAAAAGCTACCAGACATTGTTTTCGATAACAGAGAAAACCCTTCAACAGAAACATTCACTGTGTGTGATTCCCCTTAACATACTTGTGCAGCAGCTCTTTCTTGGTAGTCCTGGTGACAGAACATCCGTTAGCCATGCATTTGCAGCTCCTTGTGCATGGAGGAAGCCAGCAGGAGCAGGAGCATAACTCTTCGTAATAGTTGGTTTGTAGGGAGTTTGTGGTAATTGTGGTATTTGGCACACCACAGCACTGATCCCTGAGAGCTTCAAGAGAATAATTTCAAAGGACATTTTGTGACATCAGATGGCCAGTGGAGAAAGAAATAAGCACAGCAACAATGGAACAGTTCTGCTGCTGTCACTGTGAGGCAGACAGAGAAAAGGAGAGAAAGGAATATTTGGCAGCTTCAATAATACAAGCTTATAAAAGAAAAACTCCAGAAAATGCCATGGCCAGCACTCCTGTTTTCTAACTAAACATTACAATGCTCTTGAAAGCTTGTCCCATAAAGAAGCTTAGTTGTTGCAGAAATCCTTAATTTCTGCTGCCTGGTGCTCCATATTATTTCATAACCCATATTATTCAGAGAAACAGAATCTGTTCATGTGCAAGGGAAATACCATGCTCCAAATGATCATTATATGAACAGTGGACCAGAGCAAGAGTTCTAGAGGGTATTAGCAAGTCTAGTTCCTTCCTTTCATAACTCCCACTTGTAAACTTCTCTTAAATGTATTACTAGCATGTTTCTGAAAAGCCAAGCATTTTTGAAGTGTGTCAGACTGCACATTAAGAAATCTGGAAACACTGGAAATGTTTACAAGACTGTCTCAAAGTTTTAGTAAAAGCTTAGCAAACCTTTCCAGTGAAATCTGTCCTTTGCTCAGACGTGGTGAGGGGAAGTCTTTAATCAGAATAATCAGTGGCTTAGCAGAACTCTAATGTATGACTTTAGTTGTAGTAGATTCTGTAGGAAAACCAGGATCCTAATCACTTCCTAACAACTCTGACACTGACAATGTCTTGTTAGAATTGGTTTGCTTGCTACATTCCCCTTGAAAGTCATATATGAGCTTGAAAAAATTGCTGAATTGTTTCTGCAAAATACGAAGAAATGTAACAAATTTCTTTAAAGTATAAGGACTAGTGAGGTGCTACGATTTTTAAAGTTTCTAAAGTTAGTAGTAAAAGGGTATGTTAGTAACTGTATTTTTATTGTTTTTTAAAATTTACTACCTTTTTTTCTGTACTATTATTTTGAACATGTTATGCTGGTAAGCTCTGACGCAGCACCATTACTAGAAGGAGATTTATGCTTTTTTACATCTCTTTACTGACAACACAAATATGATCTTTTATGTGATTCACTTGGACAAGACAGGAGTTTTCTGTTTGTCCAACAGGAAACTTGTGAAACGCTGTGTAATGGGTGTACACAACGTGTCCTTCCCTTCCATTCCCAAATTATGACTGCTCTAAATCTGTGTATGTAGACTTTAGGAAATACCACTGGTTTTGGTGTTGGAATGAATAATGAAGTGGAAGCTGGAATATTCCCTCCATGTTCTCTTACTAGCCAAAGTGTTCATCTTTGTGCATGATTTTGTTCCAGTAGCTGCTGTTTCTCATCGGGTATTCAGAGGGCTGCCTTACCTAAGTCAGGCTTAACTTGGTTAGAGCACAGTGCTACTAATGCTGCGGTCATAGGTTTGATCCCTGCATGGACCATCCACTTAAGAGTCAGTCTGGACTCCATGATCCTTGTGGGTCCCTTCCAACTCAGAATATTCTGTGGTTCTGTGACTAGCAAGCAATGGCCTGATATGTAGGTATGCTTACATCCCTGAGCTCTTACTTAGGTCTTTCTGTGGGTGAAACTTTTTTGCCTGCTCACTCGCCTTCAGGTAAGGCAAGCAGCGCAGGTTGCCTGAAATGTGGTGGAAGGGAACAACTGACTAGAGATGCCAGACTGGAACTGTGGCTATTGAACAGCAGCATCTTAAGATGTTTATGAAAAAAATCCTTAGTTTCTGTAGGAAACACACAGAGGTATGTCTCTCCAGGAAGAGCACTGGGAAGGAAAATAGATGTCTTTCTCTTTCCAGCTGCTGACCACTACGGGCTAACCCACAAAATACATATGCCATGATCCCAGGAAGAAATTTTTGTCCTCTTTCCCATCCATCCTCTCTCCTTTGACTTACTTTCTTACAGAGCAGAGATGTTCCCATGGACAAAGAGAAGCAATTTCGCCTGGTCCATGCTGCTGCAGATGGAATGGTAGAGAAATGCACACCCCTGCTCTAGCATCTCCCTCCCACCCTCTTAGTGTCACTCTGGGACCTGCTGGGGCTGAACTTGCACTGAGGCACAAAGGAGAGTGAGGAAACTGAGAAACAAAGCGCTGTGAACTGCAGGCACTTCCCAAGAGCGGCAGCCACTTCAGCACGACACCTTGCATTGTCATGCATCGTCTCAGGCAGAAAGCTGTATGTAATAGAAAATAAAACATCTCCAGGGACATAATTCCCAATTTCAGCTCCTGTCATGATATTTTAATTACTGGAACTTGTTTTGCAATTAACTAGGTAATTTTATTTTCTGGGTTATTCAGTTTTAAAAAAGTTTTGACTCCTCTTATT